GTATGGGTCTTGTTTCAGTTTTTTGCAGGTGGATATCCAGTTATGCCAGCATCATTTGTTAAAGAGACTGTCTTTTCCCCAATTAATGGACTTTGTGCCTTTGTCAAATATCAGCTGCTCATAGGTGGATGAATTTACGTCTAGATTCTCAATTCTGTTCCATTGGTCTATGTATCTGTTGTTGTACCAGTACCATGCTGTTTTGACTACCTTGGCAGTATAATAGGTTCTAAAATCAGGTAGTGTGAGGCCTCCCACTTTGTTGTTCTCCTTGAGTAATGCTTTACTTATTCGGGGGCCTCTTCTCTTTCCATATGAAATTGGTGATTTGTTTCTCCATCTCATTGAAAATTGCTGGTGGAATTTGGATCGTGATTTCATTGTATTTCTAGAACGCTTTGGGTAGAATTGACATTTTTATAATGTTGAGTCTTCCTATCCATGAGCAAGGTATGTTTTTCCACTTATGCAGGTCTCTTGGTTTCTGGCAATAGTGTCTTGTAATTTTCATTGTATAGGTCTTTTACATCTCTGGTTAGATTTATTCGTAAGTATTTTATCTTCTTGGGGGCTATTGTAAATGGTATTGATTTGGTGATTTCCTCTTCGAGGTTCTCTTTCTTGATATAAAGGAATCCGACTGATTTTTGTATGTTTATCTGGTATCCTCAAACTTTGCTGATATCCTCTATTAGTTCCAGTAGTTTTCTTGTGGATTCTTTGGGGTTTTCTCTGTATAAGATCATATCGTCTGGAAATAGTGATACTTTGACTTCTTCCCTACCAATTTGGATGGTCTTTATTTCTTTTTCTAGCCTAATTGCTCTGGCTAGGACCTCCAGTACAGTGTTGAATAAGAGTGGTGATAAAGAGTATCCTTGTCTGGTTCCCATTCTCAAGGGGCCAGCCAAGAATTGTATATCCAGCAAAACTGTCTCAAATATGATGGTGAAATTAGGGCATTTCCAGAAGGGCTCAGGTCTCTCTGGCCCAGGTCTGGCAGCTCTTTGGTGCTTCTGAACTGTCTGTCCCCCCTGCCACTCAGTCTGTTTTCTTAACTCTGTGTTTGATATTCAGGGTTCCCAGATTGCCATATATGATCAAATCAAGGGGAATGCTTTCAAAGTCTCTGCATTTAGGATGATGTTGGCTGTTGGCTTTGTGTAAATGCCCTTAATTATATTGAGGAATTTCCCTTCTATTCCTATTTTGCTGAGAGTTTTTATCATGAATGGGTGTTGGACTTTGTCAGATGCCTTTTCTGCCTTGATTGATAAGATCATGTGGTTCTTGTCTTTTGTTTTATTCATGTGATGGATTACATTGTTTTTCTATTGTTGAGCCATCCCTGCATACCTGGTATAAATCCCACTTGATCATGGTGAATTATTTTTTTGATATGTTGCTGAATTCTATTGGCTAGAATTTTGTTGAGGATTTTTGTGTCAACGTTCATGAGGGATATTGGTCTGTAATTTTCTTTTTTTGTGGTATCTTTGCTTGGATTTGGTATCAGGGTTATGCTGATAGAATGAGTTTGGGAGTATTCCATCCTTTTCTATGCTCTGAAATAGCTTTAGTAGTAGTGGTGTTCACTCTTCTCTGAAAGCTTGGTAGAATTCTCCAGTGAAGCCATCCGGGCCAGGGTTTTTTTTTTGTTGTTGGGAGTTTTTTGCTTACCTTTTCAATCTCTTCTTTTGTTATTTAGTTGTTCTACCTCTGTTTGTATTAGTTTAGGTAGGTAGTGAGTTTCTAGAAATTTGTGCATTTCCTCTAGGTTTTCAAATTTGTTAGAGTACAGTTTTTCATAGTATTCCATTATGATGCTTTTAATTTCTGTTGGGTCTGTTGTGATATCACCCATCTCATTTTTTATATGGGGTTATCTGCTTCCTCTCCTGTTATTCTGTTGTCAATTTGGCCAATGGTTTATCAATTTTGTTGATCTTTTCAAAGAACCAGCTTTTGGTTTTGTTAACTTTTTCAGTTGTTTTTCTATTCTCTATTTCATTTAATTCTGCTCTAATTCTTATTATTTCCCTTCTACTGGCGCCTGAAGGCTTCTTTTGCTGCTCTCTCTGTACTTGTTCCAGTTGTAGGGTTAATGTTTTGGTTATGGCCCTTTCTTCTTTTTGAATGTGTGCATTTATTGCTATAGAATGACCTCTGAGCACTGCTTCTGCTGTGTCCCAAAGGTTCTGGTAGGATGTGTTTTCATTCTTGTTTGATTCTATGAATTTTTTTATTCCATCCTCAATTTCTTCTATAATCCAGTAGTTTTTGAGCAAGGTGTTGTTCAGTTTCCATGTATTTGATTTTTTTTCCTTGCTTTTTCTTTTGCTGATTTATGGCTTTACGGTCAGAAAAGATGGTTTGTAATTTTTTGATGCTTTGGATTTTGTTAAGGTTTGTCTCTGTGCCCTAATATGTGGTCTGTTCTGGAGAATGTTCCGTATGTGTTGGAAAAGAAAGTATACTTGGCTGCTGTTGGGTGGAATGTTCAGTATATGTCTGTGAGATCAATTTTTTTCCTTCAAGGCTTTATATATGTCATCCCATTGCCTTCTTGCCTGCATGGTTTCTGCTGAGTAGCCCGAGCTTAGTCTTATTGACTCTCCTTTGTAGATGACTTTTCATTTATCCCTAGCCACTCTTAAAATTCTCTCTTTGTCTTTGGTTTT